TTAAAAAATATGAAGCATTTGGTAAAACATTAGAACAATCAAGTGGTACTAGTGGTAATGACCGTCGAGTTTAACATTGTGGTAAAAATAATAATGATATTTATTAATATGCTGAAGCCAAAACCACCAGTTCTAAATAGACCTTTTTTAATTTTAACTTATTTTATAAAAACACACACATTGTTTTTTTGTCTTTTATTTGTTAACCATAATTACAATAAAAGATTGAAGAAAGAGCCAAATTAAATGATTCATTTTATATTTTCTTTTATGAAATGACAAACGATCATTAATAATTTAGTTAATATTTCATTATACTTGAAAGATATTATTAGGATATAAATACAACATTTACCATCTTTTTTAGTTTATTGAATAAAACAAAACAAAAATACATCTACTTGTACAAAGAAGGAAAATAAAGACATAAATCTTCCGAATGTACCATACCCCCTGTCGTAGTTATTTTTGTCACCTTAGCACAATTGCGTCGTGTTTCTTCTTTTGTAAAGTCTTTTGTTACCGCTTTTAAATCATCAACACATGAGACTGCAAATTCCATCAGACAAGGTACGAATGTTTTTGTTTCATTCAGAAATTGTTCGACATAATCTTTATGTGCACGTATGACATCAAGTATAGTCAGATGGGGATATTCAATAATTGAGCGTAATTGACAATTGTCAGGTGAAAATGTCATAAGACCATCCAATTTTTGTGATTCTTTATTCTGAATACATAAATGCTTCAGTAACGGGAACGATCGGGCAATTCGCATGAAGAATTCATGTTCGAATGGAGTAATATCTTCTATAACTAAATAGATAACATAATTAAATACAATATTTGGTAAGTTATTGCCAATATCTTGGATATAATTAAATTTAAAAGGAAGTGAGAAAATTGAGCATGCAGTTCTGATACCAAGAGGCAAACTGACAATATTAGTAACATAACTGGCCATACTCCTGACATGTTGTTGTCCATTATTTATTAATGTTTGTTGAATATCTTCACTAGATAACTTGTAGGATAAAACATTCAGATTGATATAAGTACAAATATAGAAAGTGAATGAACGAAGTTGTGGCATATAATCCAAAATATTACGTTGAACATAAGTACCATCAATGACTCTATTTCGACCTTCTATAGACATATTTAGAGTTAACTTTTCCAAATTTGACATTCGACGAAGAAGTAGTACAATTTTATAATAAAAGTAAAATGGATAGGACGATTTTAATAAGAAGCATTTTAGATTCAATAATTTATCCTGCAAAAAGAAAGAAATGTTTTTATGATAATCTACAAGATTAAATCATGGGTATCTTTATTTTACACATGATATATGATCTATATTCTATCTATGAATGACCGCAAATGACAAATCTAGTAGTTTCATTTTCTCATTTTACAGCACGACAAATGAGTGTTCAAAGAACAATTAAAGTTTCAGACAAACTTCCACTCATATTTGAATTATTGAAAAAAATGTTGTTATAGAAAAACTTTCGTTCGATCCTGTGCTGATGATCATTCACATATGATAATATTTAATCATATTATGAAACAGAGTAGTCTACTTTGCAATGTGAAACTCATCCGATAAAACATTATATAATTACAATTTCTAGTACGTATAAATTAAATGTCGATGATTTTGATATATTCCTCAACATGTAATACTTTTTTCTCCTTATCAAAATGAAACTTAATCATTCGATCTCTTACCTGAATTTTTTGAGATTAATCGTTAACTGCATTGAAATAGCAATAATCTTAATGGTATAAATGAAATATTTGTAACAACTTACCATACTATGAACAATGTCTGGGAATCTGTCCACATGATAGACATTAACAGACAATGTTGTCAATTTTCTAAATCGACCATCAAGTAAATCAAGACAATCATCAAAAATTTCGACATTGATATTTAAATGAGTAAGAATCGAAGATGAAAAACTAGTCAAAGACAAACAACCAAGTGATAAAGGTGGATACCAAAATGATAAAGGTGAATATGACTTAACAGATGGTTCTATGATACTTAGTTTTTTTAAATTTTTGAAAACGGTCATGATGTGACCATATACATTTTCAGTATATATTTGCGGGAAATATTCCTTGTTGTATTCATCATTATTGATAAGAATAAGATTTGTAATTTGTTCTTGGAAAATAGATCGAAGTGATGATTCATCTAAGAGAGAAAAGCAATGTAGTGAAACATACTATAGTCTTTTCCTTTTAACATCTTTATTATTTCTCAACTAATCAAATTTATATTAGATGCTTACTTGTAAAATAATTTGAAGCGATTTCTTTTTGGAAATGAGCAATTGTAAGTTTAGTTAAATTCGGATAGTCAGTGGCAAGAAGAATACGTTCCATAAAAATTGGATCAAAAATAAAACATTTCACATTATGATGAATTCTTGGTAATATATCATTGCAGAATCGATCGACTACAGAAATATTATCAATGGAGACAAAGTTCAGAATGTTGGTGAAAATGTTTTCTTGTGCAAGAATATTAAGTCGTTCATTATTAATATCCACGAAAGAATAAAGTACATCCATATTGTTCAAGTACTTAAAAATAATAAGTAATATTTCATTAGGTAAATCCAGAAGATGAGCAATTGATCGGTTCATACTTTATTATGATGTTTCTGACTAAGATAAAGCTTTATATATATACATACATATTTGTTCATTGTTTGCATCTCATCACGTTGACGTCAAGCAGAATGAACAAAATAAAGAGAAATAATTAGCAATGTGATTGATCTATTCGAAGTTATATCATCTTTTTTAGACGATTTATTTGTTAACTCAGTCTGTTTGGACGTTTTGTGCTATTGGCAAATTAGATAGGTCAACTTTTTCACAATCGTAAAACATTGAATATTGTGTGCAGTTTCGAAAGAAATTCAAGGATGACATTGAGAAGAAGAAAGTATGTATTTTTGTAATAACAGAGTCAGCTGCATTTCATTCATTTAGTATTTCTTACATTCGAGATTTTTCTAGTTTAAAATCAGATCTGGAATTTTTGCAAAAAGACAATTCTTTGAGGACTTCAAGTCTTTTAGTTACAATGAAATTCCACTACCTGTTATAATGTATAGATCTGAATGTGTTCTAGGTACACTACGCACACATACACATGTATTGTGAATCTGACGTTTCCTACCCATACGAAAATATTGTTAAGTCATTTTGATATGTAGTATAATCTCGTCTATGTTCAACTAACAGTTTTCATTATAGAAAAAAAGCGTTAATAATAGGCTCAGAATGCAAAGAAAGGAGAAAAAAAACTTTGAGAAAGGTATGCGTTATCAAGAAAGATAACATCATGTTTATGCAATGAACCAACAGATATTAAGAGAGAGATGAAGGAAAAAAGGAACTAAAACATACACGGTGATTTCGACATAAAGATTCTTCAGAAACGATTGATATTTACTTTATATTTCTTTTAAACGGAAACTAAAGAAATGTGAAATTATACTGTGCCATAGTACTCTTCGTAGACTATTCATCACAATATGAAACAACTCGAACAAAATCTGTATATAAGATGATATCTATCGAAGAACTTGTGCAAGTTTTTTTGTAAACACTTGTACCTCTAAATACACGACTCTTTTTCATACTTATGTGCATTGATAATTAGTATATTAGACAATATTTTATATCTATCATTATTGAATGGCAGGAGAGAAAGTTTAACATCAGTCAGATGTCTGAAGACTTGAAAAAAAATATTTACAAACTCTCATATTTTGTATAATTGACACCGAATTCTTGTATATTCTTTGTAAGAAAATGAAAAATACCATTACATTATATCCAAAATAAATAATAATACAAAAAAAAGAGGAAATATATAATATAATATCAGTGAAAAAATCAAGCAGAAAAAAATTACAATTAAGTATCAATGGATAGTACATTATCCATAAAAAAAAACAAACAAAAAAAAAAGAATCGTTTTTTCGTATTAATATCACACTAATGGTAAATTATCTAATGGACATTGTATAGAAAATTCTTGTAAATAGGTTTCAATACAATTTAAATGAAATATATGTGTACATGGTAATAATTTAAGTTCTTGATCAAGATTATATTTTTCCATACATATTGTACATTGATCATCTAAATGCGTTTCAGTAACTTTTATTGTTGGTAATGTATCTAATATATTTTTGTTAACTGTTTTTCGTTGTACACGTTCATCAAGACGTAATAACATTTCATAATCTTCTGGTGAACTAAAAATAAAAACTCTTCGTTTTTGTTTAAATAAATAAATAAAAATATTTACAGATCACGATTTTGCATTTCAAGAAGAAAATTAACCATAGCATCATCATATGAAGGTTCATCTGGGATGTTATATTCATGTAATGCATATTCTCGAAATTCTAATGCAGCTAAATTTGTTTGAGATTCATCAATATACATATCATTAGTAATTTTTGTATGTCGAGCTTTTCTTGTTGGCGTTGAATAATATATATATGAAGAATTGTATGGATGACGATATTGATTAACAATTGATCGAAGTTCAGTTAAAGTATATGATGGAACTGGTTGAGATGATGGCATATAATTATAACTTGGTTCATCAAGTCGAACTTTTTTAGCTAAACGATGATGTATATACAAATGTTTATTATGTGATTTAATTTTGATTGATTTGGCATGTTTTGTCTTAATCTGACGTTGTGCATTTATTTTTTTATTTGAACGTTTTGATCGTTGATAACTTTTCTCTTGTACATGATCAATATAATTCAATTGTTGTTTATTTAAATGAGTTTTTACATATAAATCATTATTATTTTTATCATCATCATCATAATTACGAAAATATGATGAGTCATCATCACTATCACTTGGACATATATATTCAGTTAAATAATCAATTTCATCGACTTGTTCAAATAAATTATTTTCATCGGATACTTCACCGGAACTGTATACATAAAAAAACAGATATATTTTTTTTCAAAATTAAATAATATATATTATAAAAATTGCCTTGTATTAGATGGAATGAATAATGATGTTGAAGATGGAGAAGAAGATATAAAAATATAATCATTCGAAGTATTTTCTTGTTCACTACTATTACTATTTAATCGACTATGATAAGGTGTATGATGTTTTGTTGTTGTTGTTGTTGACATGAATTCTGTTTGAGATGATGAACAAATCGGAGATATATTTGCATCAATGATTGTCCTCATGAGTATATAATTAAAAAATATCTAAAAGAAAAATATTCATACGAATATGAAAAATTTTTTTTTTTGGTTTTGGTTTTATTGCGTAAATTTCCTTTGATAAAAACAAAGACAGTCATTCAATGTGTAATCATGAGAAAATCAGGTGGTTGTATATAACGAACGACATAAAATATATAAAGATATGCATCAATATGAGTCGTTTTTTTT